TGATTGGTGGACTTCAAGCATTTGTGGTAAGGTTCTAAACATTTGTGGTAAGCTTCTAAACTTTTATAGTAAGGGAAAAAGGAGCAGCAAAAAAAGGAGGACTAGCATGGATGTTAGCTCAGGGCTGATCTTCCTCACAAAAAAAAACAAAAGAGGGAAGTTTAGGGGACAAGAATAGTGTAAGAAGAAAGCTGATCTATTGCTGCTACATCCTATCCTATTTTTCACATTATCTGTAGGAACTAGCAGTCATGTTTTTTGAGTGACTAATTAGATAAATATTCATAATAATAGGTAACTTTATCAAGTGCTTTACTATATACCAGATACTCTGCTGTGCTTTATGTGGAGTACCACTCTTAATTTTTACAACAACCCATTGAGGTAAGTAGTTTACTGTAGTTACTCACAATTTACAGATTGTGAACTGAGACACAGGTTAAATAACATGCCAGATGTCACACAGCTGATTGTATATTGAATCCAGTCAGAGCTCATACTGTCAACTGCTACACTAAACTGGAACCCTGGGTGTAATAGAAATATGTTCTCTTTGAGCAGTTTTTCTCTAATTAAATGTCAACCTGTTAAAAAGGGATAGAGTTGGAAAAAATATATATATTTTTTTAAATTTTATTTATTTATTTATTTTCCCCCAAAGCCCCAGTAGATAGTTGTATGTCATAGTTGCACATTTTCTAGTTGCTGTATGTGGGACGCGGCCTCAGCGTGGCCGGAGAAGCAGTGTGTCTGTGCGCGCCCGGGATCCGAACCCGGGCCGCCTGCATCGGAGCGCACGCACTTAACCGCTAAGCCACGGGGCCGGCCCGGAAAAAATATTTTTAAATAACGATTTATTAAAGAAGCAGTAAAGAAAATTAAAAAGAAAATACAAGAAAGCAAAAATAAAGCCTTGTATATCCACCACCCAGAGATTCCTCCTACATCGTCTAGTCTTCTGGATCCTTTTCTATGCATATATGTATATATATGCATTTCTTTCTACTGAAATTTCTTTCTGCTGTACACACTGTTTTATAATCTGCTTTTCTTTTGTCAAAAATTGCTACTTTTCTATTTCAATAAATTTTCATCTCCTCTGATATACACACCATCTTCAAATTTCTCTAGTTGACTCCAATATACTGGTTCATCCAAACTAGTATCCAATCCAAGACTACACATTGTGTATTGTATCTTTTAAATTTCTTAATCTATCATGTTACCTCTCCTTTTTTGTTTGTGACAGTGACTAGTGACTTGTTTAAAAGGAAGTTAGCATATCATGAAGGTACATGGCTACTAGTGGTAGTTTGGTGGCATAGAGAGAAATGGAAGGAAAAATAAAGGATAAATTTGCCATTCTACACTTTTTATAGTTATAACATTTGTAGCACAACAGTTTGATATTGCACTAATGATGATATTTTAATGAATTTTATAACCATAATGAAAATGAACATTATAAAATACAGTATGATTTGATCAAAAGCTATGAAGGACAGAGCTTTTTGTTTTAGTTGTATGTGTTTGTGTTTGACCTGGAAAGAAACAAGGATTCTCTTTTCTTTTTAGTGTCTCACTTTAAACTCCTGAGTTTGGAGTGATGTCATTTAAATCAAGTGATGGAGGTAAAATTAAATACTAGCTGCGAAAGCTTTTGGAAAAGTAAAATGTGCCATACTGGTATCATATGATATTTATTATGGAGCAGTCCTTTTATGAGGTAAAATTGACTGGAAAAACCTCTTTAAGTCTTTTGCAGATTTGGGCTTAAAACTTGGAAATTTAGATTTGAAAGGCTTTTGATTACAGCAAACATACACTGTCAATGTTATAATTCAGATGTTGAGAATAACCATTATTGAGAGGGCAGGAAATTTCATTTCCCCGTCCTATCGTTTGGCTTACCTCTCTCAAGCTTTGACATGGGAAATAAGGAAACTGGCTCTAGTTTTGAGTTTATATTATGGCTTTGCTTGTAGATGTGCCTGTGAAACTGTTCTTTTGTTTTGGCTTTCTTAGGATTTCTCATTTAGCTTCCCTGAGCTTTCTCCCTTCCCCCAACAGCTCTGCAAACTTTTTACTCCCTATGCTCCTTCCTTGATATTCTGAGGTTCCCAGTTGCCATGGTGCCTCAGAAGTGAGTAGACAGAGAACGTCATTATGAGATCTGCACTTGGTACCCTTTTTCTGAAGGCAGTAGTTTCCTCTATCTCCCACCCACTCCTTTCCATTCAGAAAACAGGAGCTGTCTGTCTCTGTATGTATTATAGTCTGAAGAGTTTATTCTAAATGAAATTATGAAAGTTGTTAAGTAGGACTCAGGACAGCTGCTTGACAATGTTTATTACTTTTTTCTTTATGATGTAATGCATACATTTGCCCCCTTCTTTCTTCCTGTTAACATAAATTTAAAAGTGAAGTTTGCATTTACTACTTAAAGTTTTTTAAATTATTAGATATATGCTTATTATAGAAAAGTTGGCAATCCAAAAAGTGTCAATAAAGAAATAAAAACAATCCAGAATACAATCATCCAGCGATAACTGCAGTTAATATTTGATATGTTTCCTTTCAGTGTTTTTTACCTCTTAAGGATAAATTTCGTTAAAAAATATATACATAGATGATATCATAATGAATACGCAACTCTGTTTCCTGCTTTTCTTTCACATAACATTTTCTCAGGTCATTAAAAATCTTTTAGAAACTTAATTTTTTTGGCTTTTTATTTTGAAATAATTTTAGATTTGCAGAAGAGTTGCAAAGATTTTAGCTCTTCTCCAGTGTCTTTCCCCCTTCAATATAAGCTCCACATGGCCATTGGGATCTTTCTAAAAGGTGAACTGGTCATCTCACAGCATGACTTAAGTAGGTTGCTGTTACCCATGGGGTGTATTAGTGTCTAGCCAAACATTGTGCCAGGTACTTAATGTTATTTCTAATACTCACAACAGCTCTAATCATTATTATGGTGGGCTTGATGAGATCTGTTAGGAGTCCAACAATGTCTCAAAGATGTTTGAATTGAGTTTTGAAGGATGAATAGAAAACACACAAGCTAACAGAGATAGGTGTGTTTATAGTAGGAGAGTAGAGATGGTGAGGTTGACAACATGTGCAAAAGTACCAGACTGTGAAACCTAGCATGTTCAGGAAATTATAAGTCATTGAGTATTAATGGGATGTAAGGGGGACAGGGTGGTTAGTGCGGTGGAAGAAGAGGTTGGTGAGATAGAGGTCAGATCGTTAAGGGTCTGTATGTCATACCAAGACATACATAAAATGGAAAACAGTATTTAGGTTTGGCTGTGCAACAGAATCTTCTGTGGGGCTTTAAAGAAATAAGGATTCCTGAGCCCTATCCCAGGCTGATTAAATTACAGTCTCTGGTCACGGAGCCCAAGAGTCTTCATTCTAATACTCTCCAGGTGAGTCTGATATGAAGCCTGAGCTGAGAAGCACTTTTTCAGAGATTAGAACAGTGCCTGGCATATAGTATATGCTTAATAAATGTTTGTTGTATTGAAATTGAAGTTGTACAAGTAGATTAGATCACTATGAGGAAGAGTATATAGGTAGAAGGGAAGTGTATGTAGGGAAATGTCTACCTTTAGGTGGAAGGAGGGGGAAAAAAGGAGACAGGAAATGATCATTGCAGTGGAAGGAGAACCAAAAAACCAAAGGAAAAGTAATTTTAAGGTGGAAGAGATGTGGCAAACAGTGTTGAATAGAGATGTAAGAGATAAAAGAATGAGAAAAAGCACGGTATTAGTGAATAGGAGGATCTTGGGGTGAACAGCTTTAGTAGATGGCAAGAGATTAAGCAGTGAATTAATGGTGAAGGAGTAGGAATTTTAACAGTAGGTCACTCTTTGAAGAAGTTGATGGGAAGGAAGAAAATAGAAGTTACTTGAGCAGATAGTAGAATCTCTCCATCGCTCTCTCTCTCTCCCTGCATTTCCTCCTCATGTTTTATTATTGGAATGTCCTTCCCCTGACTGTTGAAATTCCATTCACCCTTTGAAGTCATCACTTTAAAAAAATATATATTTTCTTGAGGTCATAATAGTTTATAACATTGTGAATTTTCACTTGTACATGATTATTTGTCAGTCACCATATATATGTGCCCCTTTACACCTTATGCCCAACCCCAACCCCAACCCCCTTCCCCTCTGGTAACCACTAATCTGTTCTCTTTGTCCATGTGTTTGTTCATCTTCCACAAATGAGTGAAATCATGTGGTTATTGTCTTTCTCTGTCTGGCTTATTTTGCTTAACATAATACCCTCAAAGTCCATCCATGTTGTTGCAAATGGGACGATTTTGTCTTTTTTATGGCTGAATAGTATTCCATTGTATATACCACACCTTCTTTATCCATTCATTAGTTGATGGGCACTTGGGTTGCTTCCATGTCTTGTCTGTTGTGAATAATGCTGCATTGAACATAGGAGTGCATAAGTCTCTTTGAATTGTTGGTTTCAGTTTCTTTGGATAAATACCCAGTAGTGGGATAGCTGGGTTGTATGGTATTTCTATTTTTAATTTCTCGAGAAATCTCCATACTGTTTTCCATAGTGGCTGCACCAGTTTGCATTCCCACTAGCAGTGTATGAGTGTTCTCTTTTCTCCACATCCTCTCCAACATTTGTGGTTTTTTGTCTTGGTAGTTATAGCTGTTCTAACAGGTATAAGGTGATATCTCATTGTAGTTTTGGTTTGCTTTTCCCTAATGATTAGTGATGTTGAAAATCTTTTCATGTGCCTGTTGGCCGTCTCTATATCTTCTTTGGAAAAAAGTCTGCTCATTTCCTCTGCCCATTTTTTTGTTCTGGTTGTTTGTTTCTTTGTTGTTGAGGTGTATGAGTCGTTATATATTTTGGAGATTAACCCCTTGCCTGATATATGATTTGCAAATATTTTCTCCCAGTTGGTGGGTTGTCTTTTCGTTTTGTTCCTGGTTTCCTTTGCCTTGCAGAAGCTCTTTAGTCTGATTTAGTCCCATTTGTTTATTCTTTCTTTTGTTTCTCTTGCCTAAGCAGACTTGGTATTAAAAAAGATGCTTATAAGACCGATGTCAAAAGAGTGTACGGCCTATATTTTCTTCTGGGAGTTTTGTGATTTCATGTCTTAGCTTCAAGTCTTTAATCCATTTTGAGTTAATTTTTGTGTATGACAGAAGATAGTGGTCTACTTCATTCTTTTGCATGTGGCTGTCCAGTTTTCCTAACACCATTTATTGAAGAGACTTACCTTTCTCCGCTGTATGTTCTTGCCTCTTTTGTTGAAGATTAGCTGTCTGTAGATGTGTGGTTTTATTTCTGGGCTTTCAGTTCTGTTCCATTGATCTGTGTGTCTGTTTTTGTACAAGTACCATGCTGTTTTGATTACTGTAGCTTTGTAGTATATTTTGAAGTCAGGGATTGTGATGCCTCCAGATTTGTTCTTTTTTCTCAGGATTGCTTTAGCTATTTGGGATCTTTTGTTGCCCCTTGTGAATTTTAGTATTCTTTGTTCTGTTTCCGTGAAGAATGTGATTGGGATTCTGATTGGGATTGCATTGAATCTGTAGATTGCTTTAGGTAGTATAGACATTTTAACTATGTTTATTCTTTCAATCCATGTGCATGGAATATCTTTCCATTTCTTTATGTCATCATCGATTTCTTTCAATAATGCCTTATAGTTTTCATGGTATAGGTCTTTCACCTCCTTGGTTAAATTTATTCCTAGATATTTTATTCTTTTTGTGCGATTGTAAATGAGATTGTCTTCTTGAGTTCTCTTTCTATTAGTTTGTTATTAGAGTATAGAAATGCAACTGATTTTTGTAAGTTGATTTTGTACCCTGCAACTTTGCTGTAGTTGATTATTTCTAATAGTTTTCTGATGGATTCTTTAGGGTTTTCTATATATAGAATCATGTCATCTGCAAACAGTGAGAGTTTCACTTCTTCCTTGCTAACTTGGGTACCTTTTATTTCTTTTTCTTGCCTAATTGCTCTGGCCAAAACCTGCAATGCTATGTTGAATATGAGTGATGAGAGTAGGCACACTTGTCTTGATCCTGTTCTCAGAGAGATGGCTTTCAGTTTTTCCCTGTTGAGTATGATGTTGGCTGTGGGTTTGTCATATATGTCCTTTGTTATGTTGAGGTACTTTCCTTCTATACCCATTTTGTTGAGAGTTTTTTATCATAAATGGATGTTGGATCTTGTCAAATGCTTTCTCTGCATCTATTGAGATGATCATGTGGTTTTTATTCCTCATTTTGTTAATGTGGTATATCACATTGATTGATTTGCAGATGAACCATCCCTGCATCCCTACTATAAATCCCACTTGGGATTTTTATATCACATGGTGTGTGATCCTTTTAATGTAT